TCTTTCCTTCCTTTCATTCTTTCTATTTCTACATTTCTCTTTCACCTTTCTTTTGTTTCTCTATGGTTCCTCATTGACTTGATTATAAAGGGATAATACCACAAGGACAAATGACAAAATGGGAAACTTCCTGAAACATATATTTGAAAAGAACTAGGAACCTTACTATATTTGTAATAAGAAGTTATATACTTTTTAATTAAGATGGTCACAATAATTAAAATACCTCCTTTTAAAATTATAAGAAAAACATGAAAAAACAAAAAAAATTTGTAATAAGAAATAAACATGGATATTTTAAAATTTATGATGTTCGGTCTAGACACCTCTCTGAATATTCATTTACATTTGTTGTTTATTCTATTTGGAATTGGCCCATTACTGTGTTTGCACATGATGAAAGTGAAGCATAAAAAGGTTAAGCAACATGCACAAAGTCATACAATTACATGCTGATGAGTGTCAGCATTTCTCAGTCAGGGATCACTAATTGGAGATAAGTATCCTACTTATTCCACAAATCCTTCCATCTGAACTGCCCTTCCTCTCTATGTTATTTATAGAATCCTTGGCATCACTTCTCTGTTCCTGCTTAACCTTAAAGTACACATTCTTCATGAAACTCGCCACAACTACCCTGGTCCTCAGACATATTTGTTTCAGAATTCCTGAGTACTTTGACCATATCAATGCTATACTTGATTACTTGCTAGTATTGTCTTCCATTTGTTCTGCATATATTTACCTCTCAGGCATATTATAAGAACAGTATTTTCAATGCAGCAGTGGACAAAGCCTTGGGTATATAGTAGGCATATAATAAATTATTTGTTGATTGATGGACAGAAAGGATCATGAATGATGTTGGATGAGAAAAGCTTACAAAATCAATGAGAAGAGGAGATGAAGAAGAGGTCAGGTGAATACTTTCTCTTGTTAGATTTAAAAGAGTAAATCCAGATAAAATTTTTTAAAAATATCATGCCCATTTGTCAGAAGATATAATTAAAAAAATTACTTTGGAGAAATACTCCCTGAAAAATGTAGTTGAGAACCATTGCGATAAACAAATGTAGGTTTTCCCTAATGTAGGGAGGGGCCTGACCATGGTATTTTTTATTTCCAACATCAGGATTCTTTGATATAGTTCCAAAACTGTAAATTTGACATTGTTATTATGAGGTAAATTAATATCCCTAAATTCTCTATTAGAACTTAGATTCTAAAAAAAAAAAAATTGACCTCCATATTCCAAATCTGTGAAAAATACATGCAATAAATCCTACATACTGAAAAATACAAACCTTTTATGTAAAGAACAAAGAGATCTCTGAGTTGAATCGTACAAATATTATTTGCCATAGGCCATCTAATCCTGTAGTGTAACTATAAATAATTTGTAACCAAAGTGTAGGGTAATTCCATAAAGCTGCCACACTAGACTTTCAAAGAAAACATCTGGGAAGGAAAAAGTCAAATATGCTTCACCCACAGCAAGATATAAAACTGTTGGAAAAAATATTCTTGCTAGTTTCTTTATGGTTACATGATTGCTTTCCACGTTGGGCTCTGGTAAGGGTAGAGTTGTGTTCCCCAAAATATTTTGTTCAAGTCCTAACTTCCAATACTTTAGAATGTGACTATATTAGGAGATAGGGTCTTTAAATAGATGATCAAATTAAAATGAGGTCTTTAGGGTTGGCCCTAATCCCATATGACTGCTGTCCTTACAAGGAGAGGGAGATTAGGACACAGACATACACAGAGAGAGGACTTCACGAAGACGCAGAGAGAAGATGGCCATCTGTAAGCCAAGAAGAGAGACCTCAGGAGAAACCAATCCCGCTGACCCTTACATGCTGCACTTTGAGCCTCTAGAATTGTGAAAAAATAAATTTCAGTTGTTTGAGCTTCCCAGTCTGTGGTGGTTTGTCATGGTAGCTCCAGCAAATATTACAAGCACTTCTCCAGCTTACCCTTGTGGTCATGAGTAAGGCCTTTTGGCTTTCCAGTGACCACTTTCCTGCTCACCTTCAGGTCAAAGCACTGCAGTGCGTAGATGATGGGGTTGGGATTGATTTTGGGATCCATAATAAAGTACCAATTAGACTCATAGTAGACAGTTTCCATGAGGACATTTACAGGTATGAGAAGAGAAGTGTGTCAGCTCTGAACAATGATGGGCAGCAGATGACATTAGCAATGAGACTTTCTCAGTGCTCCAAATGTATCCTTGAAGTCAAAACCACGCTTTTCTGGAGATGATGCTCTGAGGAAGCGAACCTATTATCACTTGTGCAATGACAGATGTTGTTCTCAATTTTGAAATAGAGCTCTGTTGCTTCCTAGCCATATGCCTCATTTTCTCAGGTATGCATCATTTTCCATATCAAAAAGGAGGGTTAATATAGTGCCTACTTTCTTAGAGTTAGCCTGAAGATTACTTGACTTTGCCCATGCATTTGGCTGAAAGGAAGCAATCCATAAATGTTAGCTTTTACTCCTATCACGAATATTAGGTGGTAGTTTTGCATGTGTTATATCTTGAATGCGATCTAGCCTCACTTGTATATATTTTTAATACATTTTGTCTTAGATTCCTGATTATGAAATGTAAAGACATGGGATTAATATACCCTAAAATATAGAGATTTTGTTTAATATAAAATGACTTTTTTTCCCAAACTATTATTATTGCACTGGGAAGTACTAAGAAGACTAGAGATGGTCTGAATAAGCCAGTCTGGGGGGGATATATGGCAAGTCAGAAAAAATATATTCCAATCAAAGATGGTATGGTCATGAATTAACCATAAATTCAAATTATGGACAGATAATGTATATCATCTATATTAGTCGTCACACATTCCATTAAAAGTCACCTTTATTTCATATTGCATATTCAGAATTTATAAGTGGCTAATGCTTCAGCATCATGGAAATACTCAACAATTTGGAGGAATTTTGACATTTACTTTAAAAATGTGCTTACTATTATAAATATGCACTGGAAATAATTTCATGAGCATGCTATGACTCAAAGTATTGATATGAAGCTCAAGATGATTTTATTCTTATTTCATTTGCTCAAGTACTAAGATGAATGCTGGATTTATTTTGAGTAGCAATATTTCAAATAATTTATTTTCATAATTATTAATACATTCCAGACCACTAAAACTGTTCCACTTAGAATAAATGTATAGTATGATTTTCGGCTTTGCACCACTGGAAAGATCTGCTGATGGATACGTTTGTTTTAATATCACTTGATCATACTTATGCAATTATTTTTATCATATGCTAGAGCAAAAAACAGTTTTTATTTTAGAAGACATGAAAATGAAAGTTACATCATAATTTCTATACATTCAAGAAGTCCAAAATGATGAAAGTGTATGAAATCTGCTGTGATATTGACAAGATACGAGAATACTTGCATCGCACACCATGGCAAGTCACATTTTTTTCATGAATGAACATTTTCTTTTAAGAATACTTAAAAGTACAAAAAAAGAGAATACTTTAAAAATACAGAAATGCAGGCATGGTCAGCTCACTGTGGTTATATAGGAAATAAAGAGAAAGGATGAAACAAAGAGATTGAAACAGAAAAAGAGGCACTGGGTTATGGGGAGAAGAAATTTTTAAATTTAGCTCATACTAACAACTACTTACTCAATAGTCACTAGGTGCTTTACATGCTATAAATTACTGAGTTGCTTAAAAAGATTTTCTTTTAAAGGTAAAAAAAGGAGAAGGGAGAAGGCAAAGGATGGGGGTAAAAAAAGGCCACAATCACAATCCTCTCCTTCATCACATGGGGAGTCTCTTTGAATTTACAGTATGTCCTAGTTAGGGAAATACTGTAGTTAAAGGCTCCAATTAAATACAGTGAGCAGATTCACCTTTCAATGAGAAAACTAGAGAGCAGAACTTCACATGACTCAGGGGAACTTAGTCCACCTTGAACGTTAGCACAAAGTTGAACGTCTCTAGCCGTTTCCTGTGGCTCTTCTTGACAGCTACTGTGTCCTTCTCTGATCTTCAGGTGGGGCATCCTGGATTTACATTTACTGGATGGCTTGGACCAGCTGCCAAGAGGATGAATGTGCTGCACTCCCTCCCTCCCACCTGCCAGAGTCACCGGGTACATGGAAAACCTCTTGACTTCCATGGATATGGAAACCTCAAAAGAAAGCTCTCTCTAAGGCAGGCATCAACAATGCTCACAGTAGCTTGAAATTTCCTGGAAGCCATTCTTACCATGGCTGAGGAAAGCACCTTGAGCATGTGACTTGAATGGCACCATAAAAATAACTAGGCATTAAATAAGCCCAGAAGAGGAACATGGGGGGCAATATTCAATTAACCAGGTCAACCAAATTTAATGACACATTCGATCAACGTAAACAAGGTCTTTAGTAACTGAGATTTTGCCTACATTCTCAAATGTGAATTATAATGAATGAGCACCTTCTGCAGCCCAGGAAGAGCTGCTATCTTCACTGCAATTTGGGCTGAGAAAATCGGGGTGATAGGTAGAGAAGATAGGAAATGTTTGAATTCTGGCTATGAATATAAATGGACTTCTCACAATTTCCAACAAAGTTGTTTAACATGGTGGATTGGAAAGTAGGCACAGGCTTGGACAACTTAGATGTGTGGGGAATAAATCACAGATCCTGTAATTAAGGGCCTGAGGAAGTCTTTAGAAGTCATTTGGTCCATTCCCTCACTTTTGATATGAGAAGATGAGACTCAAGAGATGAACTGATCTCCTCAAGACAACACTATGACCTCCTGGGACAGAGAGGTCATGGGCTTAGATTTCCTGTCACCTCCTTGGGTTCTTGAAAATTATGACACAAGCTGACACAGGTTACTGGTATATGGAGATCATATATGCAACATTTCCTTAAGCTAGGAAATGAAATAGAATATAACCGATGCCTCCACTCCACTCCTCAATTCCAAAGAAAACAAATCTCTTTACTCACCTGCAGGGAAAAACTCGCTCATCTTCTTTTTGTAGATTTTGAAGTCAACTTCTAAGAAGACACAGAAGATGATCCGATCCACCTAGAGGCAAACAATAAATACTCAAAGTGAAAGGAAATATGGTGACCTTGGAATATCAGAAATATTCCAGAACATGGTTTTGGAGCTAAAACCAGGTGGAAAAGCCACCTGTAGATTGTTGGTACTCTACTGCTAACTGTGTGACAGTGTTGAGTGAAGTTCAAGTGCACGTGTCAGCTGGGGTATGAGTGTGCATTCTTTATGTAAATGAGCCCATGGACTCTTTGGTGGAAAGATGTTATATAAATCAAATAGGAAATAATAAATGACAATAAGCCACTTTGCAGCAAGCTATAAATAAGATTGGAGATTCTGACAGGATACCTAGACTTTATGTCCTATAAAATAACCATATGAGAGGTGTATAGCAGAATGACAATAAAGTATGTCAGTAAACAAAGATCTCTTTGTCCTATCCATCTTAGACAAATAAATTTATCAAACCTGTTAGTATTTGAACACAGCCTAAAAAGCTTCTTGCAGTTTAATTTGCATGAAAGTCACTTGCTTTTAGCTTAACATACTCAGAAATGCAACAGAAGTAAAATATAATTAGTTGACAGCGACATGAGGTCAATCGAACTTTAACCTGGTAGATATTACTGAGTAAGTTAGTGCCACCTCAAAAGCAAAACATGTGTGTTGTCCCTTTTTCCTGTTTTGGGAGAGCTTCTCTACATAAGGTGTTTCTTTGAGACCTTTGGAGAGTAGTATAGTAAACAGAGAAGAGAGATGGAGTGTATCTAATAGCTTGCTCACGTATATCTTAAATTAAATCAGTGACCCCATTTCATGTCTTTAAAATAAACATCCCTTTAGTCGCTCTATTTTAACAATCTACAAAAACTTAAAAATTACCCAATCTATCAAATGGCAACTGGTAATTGAATAGAACATCAAGCTAGGCATTTCTCAGGGCAACAGGGAATAGAAGTGGGGTGCACATGTGGCAGGACATGAATGAACCCAAATGGATGTCATCCACCTAGCCCTGCAGCTCTCTGAGCCTGTGGAAAACAGATTCACACTAGGCAAGTTCAAAGTGCCCAGCAGGAGAGGGATGGTCGGGCAGGGAGGGCTAGGACACAAGGAATGGTCAGGGCTCCCCGTTGGAAGCTCAGAGACGTGGCTCCCTGATCTCTGCACAGGTCCAGATAGGCTGCCTCCCAGACAGTCGCTGGACTTCTTCGCTCTCATCACCAAATACCACGCAGCCCCAGTAATCCTCCCCCCGAAGGGTGGATTATAAGAGAAAGCATCTGGCCTTCAGATATGGAAGGACAGGGTTGCAAATAAACCTTATTTTCTTTTCCCTATATTCACTTGAGTTTCTGGTGTCCAGTCCTTTCTGCATATCATTAACATTTTCTACAAATGCAAAAGCTGTCACCATCAATTCACTCTTCGGGTGAAATACAAATTTAGTTGAATAAATGATTAGCTATCTGAGCAATACTGAATGCTCGTCTTTGCTCTCCTTATGGTGTGTTTATGCCCTGTAGCTAAAGATAAAAATCACAATGATGGAGCAATAGAAACTAGGCACAAAAAATGTCTTTTCTATAATGCCATTTGTACAAGTTTTTAAAGCACAAAGATAAAAAAGTGTAGGGATTCATTCATAAGCATCGATATACAGAAACACACCTAGAAATGTCACACATGAACTTCAGAAAAGAGAGTTGAGAAAAATCTAGCAAATGAGTAAAAGCTATTAACTATGGGGGTAAGTACGTGGTATATTATTTTCTATACTTTCCTGCGTATTTTTCAAATAATAATTATTTGAATAATTCTCTTTATAATTAAAAGTCCTAACACCAAAAATAGGACTCTGTGTTAGACATATTCTTCTCTCTGGCTGTATTAAACCATTTGTAATTCCCAAACACCATAATTATTCATATTTCTGTACCTATGATGGTTGACTTTTTCTCCAGGTTTCAAATGGTCAGATTATTTCTAAAGCTACCTAATCGAGATCAAAATCAATACAAGAAAATTTGATTCAAAGAAGATCTAAGGAGACCAAACTGGACGGTCTCATTTTTACTCATGTTTCCCTATCTTAATGGTCACTCAGTATAAGTTAACGGGATTTTGAAAAACACTCCTGTTGCCTGTGTGTCTGTTTGCAGGGGGGAGGGTTAGTGATAGTAATGCTACTCATTGCTGTTAAGTGAACTTCCAACCATCACAGAAACGACATACAGATTTCTTAAATATTGTAAAGAATTTTAATCCACCTTTTAGCGTTTTAGGCTTTGTTACCATGGAAATAGTATGAGTCCAAAATTTAGCAGCCTGATTTATTTTCCCAGAGAGTAGATGGATGCTGGGGGGAAAGTACTTTTATTTTAAACTAATTGAGTGGCCCATTTCCCTGCCCTGACCCTGAGGCATCACACTGAAAATATCTTGGAAGCAGATCGAATCTAAGAATTAACCCTCACTTGCCAAGTACTTTCACGTATGCATATGTGAATGTATTTATAGATGTGTGTATACACTTACTCTCTGGGGTTATTGTTGGAAAAGAGCTCCATTAGTTGACAAGCTCTGTGTTTATAAACTCATAATGGATATTGATCACTGCTTGTGGTAGATGATATTTTCCAAGATGGCATGCAATGAGATACCCCGTCCCTCAGTCTCTCTTAAAATGTAACGCTGATACTCCTCTCGTTGAGAAATGGGATCTATAATTCCTCCTCTTAAATCTAGGCTTGTCTGGAACTCTGGCAGAAATACTATGTGACTTTCAAGTCCATGTCACGAAACTTGATACAGTTTCTGGCTGGTCCTTTGGGGAGGGGTGCTCTTGTGCCCAATCTTCACGCCATGAGGAAGCAGAGAGACGACATGGAGAACCCATTTGTTCAAGTTCTAGCCAATAGCCTTACTGAAAGTGAGTAGCATCTTGATGAATTCACCTTCTGGTTTTTGAGCTACCCCGGCTGGTGCCACATGGAACAGAGATCAGCTGTTCCCACTGAACTCTGCCCAAATTGTAGAGTTGTGTACAAAACAGAAATACATAGCCAGAAATCTGATATTCTTCTGGTTTCTTCCTGTTGCCCATTGTTTGGATTCTTGCTTTTCCAGTTATATAGCATGTGATCTCTCTTGAAAGGCTCAGACTGAATGGATCAAGATCAAGTAGAAGCCACAATGGGGTGATAAGAAGAACATAGAAAGGGGCACCTGGGTGGCTCAGTGGGTTAAAGCCTCTGCCTTCGGCTCAGATCATGATCCCAGGTCCTGGGATCCAGCCCCGCATCGGGCTCTCTGCTCAGCTGGTAGCCTGCTTCCTCCTCTCTCTCTGCCTGCCTCTCTGCCTTCTTGTGATCTCTGTCTGTCAAATAAATAAATGAAATCTTGAAAAAAAAAAAAACAAGAAGAAGAACATAGAAAATCAACTAGGTACATGGCTGAGAAGTTAGAAATCTGATTTATGTAAAGGGGAAAGAGCCTGGTGATCCATACTATCCCCGGATAAATTACCTGAGAATATGTAAGAATGCCTTACAGTTAAGGCTCAGGATCATATTTTCAATTTCTCTTTTATGTTAGGCAACAGAACAATTTTGAAAAATGGTTGTTCATTATTTAAATTTTTTTTTTTTTTCAAGATTTTATTTGTTTGTCAGAGAGAGAGAGAGTGAGAGCAAGCACACAAGCAGGGTGGGTAGGGGCAGAGGGAGAGGGAGAAGCAGACTCCCCACTGAGCAGGGAGCCCAACATGGGACTAGATCCCAGGACCCTGAGATCATGACCTGAGCCCAAGGTGGATGCTTAACTGATTGAGCCACCCAGGTGTCCCATAAAATGGTGGTTCTTGAGAGACTATATTTACTCATTTATTTAAGAGATAGGAACTGAGCACTTCTAATTTCTTGGACCTAGTCCATGTATCATTCTCTCACAAGAAAACCTGCATTCAAAAAAAAAAAAAAAGAAAGAAAGAAAGAAAGAAAGAAAGAACGAAAGAAAGAAAGAAAGAAAGAAAGAAAGAAAGAAAAGAAAACCTGCATCCATAACTGAGTGCTTTTTTTTTTCCCCCTCAAGACCAAATAATTAGTTACAAAATCGCAGGCATCTTAACTTCACATCCAGTGTTTTCTGTGATACCACCCACATGAAGACACATGGGACTGAGTTTCTAGGCCTGTAACTAGCTCTGTGACATTGGACAAAGCCCTGAGTCTCTCTGAGATCCAGCTTTCATGTCTTTATAAAGAAAGGTTTGAATTATATCATGTTTCTTTCTTTTCTTTTCTTTCTTTTCTCTTCTTTAAAAAAAATTTTTTTTTAATATCTCAGTGATTGTCTATCTCTGTGGTAATTTTGTGCTATGTCAGCTTAGCTCAGCTGGAATGAGACTTCTCTGAATGGTTGGCCCCTGAGAAATTTCATGAGATTTTGAGGGCAGAAGAGCAGCTGCAGCCCTTGCACTAGGCAGCGGAGGGTAGGACCCAAGGCAGGTAGGGTACATTGTTGCTAATCAGCTGGAGGTGGGGTAGGAGCTGGGCTCACAGCTTTTCCAGCTCCTGCTCTTTCTCCTACCTCAGGTTCTCTGAGTCTAGTCTTGGCACACACACAGCTTCAAAGGGCACAAGTTCCATCGTGGGGGGGGGGGCAAGCAGCTTTGGGGTTCCATACAGGGGGAAACAGATACATGGGAAACAGATACATGGTTTGTCCATGTGGGTTCCAGGCTGCTCTCATGGTTTCCACTTTGTCCTTGTCCTCCCCCAACTTAGCTTCCAGCTTTCTCTTTGGCACCTCTTGACCTGCGTCTTGACCACCCACCCTGCTGACACAGTCCAGGCCTCGTCACTTGCAGAGACAAAGGTCTTCCACAAACTCCTTCACCAGCTCCCTCTCTTGGGTCCTCAGGAAGGGCTTTTCTCTGCTCAGTCAACTATCCCCTTGACATTTACTTCCCCGGTTTCTCCCACAATTGTATACAATCTAATCCCTATCCTAAATCCTATATC